TCCAGAAGTATGTGTACCAATATGGAGGTAATGAATTTTATTCGCTTATTTTACATCAAGTTGTATAAAGGGACTGAAAACTATGGGCAGGGGGATATTCACTTGGCTAACGCAGACAGTCCCCAAACTTGTAATAGAACCAAAATAAGGAAAATCTGAATAAAATTATGGCCCAACTTTTCTGAAACTTTACTAAATCTTTTCTCTATATTCAGGTGTTCCTGGTTTGGAAGCTGCATATCAGAATTGTATATACCAGGTCCAGCTTTATGGTCCTACTAATTTTGCTCCTATTATTAATCATGTTGCTAAGTTTGCTTATACTGCGTCACAAGAAAATACTGCCAAAGTAAGAATATATTGATTCGAAGATGAATAAAACAGTTGTTACATTCATTCTTGGTGTGTGTAGAATCATGCCATGTATGAAATCCCATGGGAATAAAATATATTCAGGGCATTCATTTTTTTCTTCATCTTTTTCATTGAAAACGACCTAATATTTTATATAGAAATCACATATCGTTTAACTACCATTAAAGATGGATTCTGGCATCCCATAATTCACCTACAGCCAACCTTCATAACTATTTGCCCAACCTAAAGATATATGCCCATGAAATGCATATATCAGTAAATTGAATGTAAATGAAGCTTTGTTTTTGTTCCTATGATTAATATTGTCATGAGAAATTATAACTTCCTGAATCCTGATGCCACATTAAATTGATTTCATATCATGAATCATATACTATCAATTAAATCAGTCTATCAAATTTATTACAAAAAGAGCATTTTCTATCTTTTTTTGGTATTTTAACAGCTGTTCTTTCTATTCAGAATTACTACATTCTTTTAATATTAACGGATGGCGTTATATCTGATTTTGTTGATACGAAAGATGCAATTGTAAATGCTTCCTATCTTCCAATGTCAATCATTATTGTTGGTGTAGGTAAGGATCGAATATGTTACTTATTTCAGCAGTCATCGTACTTTTCTTTAACAATTGACTGAGTTTTAAACGAAATAAAGATAGATATAATGATTTAATACAGTAGTTCTCAAACTTTTTAAGCCGCGCCCCCTTTTTTAGAATTTATCAAGTCTCGTGGGCGTGGCCACCTCAAAAATAACTAGCTAACAATAAGCTGCAAACGAGAATATCGGTCAGAGACCAAAGACTTATCGATCGAAAGTTAGGGGATCCCCTCTCGCTCACACTCCATAGTGACATCTATTGTCCCATCACTAATTAATTAATAACTCGATTATACAACATAATTCGCCCAAAATCAATAGGCTTTTGGTCCAAGATATGATGAATGCACATGCAAAATCTGGAGCAGATTCGATCTCGCTTTCATGAGATATCGCCTGCATCTAACAGACAGACAGACAAATACCTATCAACATACTTACCGATTAAAATCATAAGTAATAACAGATAAGATAAGTAATAACAGATAGTAAGGCAAAAGTATGTTTTATTCAAACTACACATTGAAAATATGTGGATGGAACATAAATATCCAAAATAAAGAAATGAATATAACCAAAATAAGCCGGGCGGGATCAAATCTAACAAATATTTTCTTTTATTTTTATTAGCTTCACAGCCGTGCATAAAATTGTCTGCGCTCCACCATTTGGAAACCACAGATCTAATATAAAGCGCACACTTTTTATCATATATATATATATCAAAGATAGTCCGATTTGTAGATCTCCCAACTGTCTCTCTGACAGTGTGAAGCTGACATGAATTGTTTCAAATTTTATGTCAAATGGTATCCACTGGGAAATCTCTGTTGCAAGTAAACTCAAATATGGGTTTAAGTGTCTTAGTGATTACTTAGAACTCTTCTTATTATCTATATTCTTTCTTCATTTAATTGTAAGACATTGCTTTGAGTAAATTAGCATAAAAAATGGTCATTTTCTAGAATCTTGTTTTGTAACAAACACACGAAACACCTGAATAACACTGTATTAATTGCAAGTATGACCTACAATTAGAATATATTCATATTTGAACCAACATTTCAGGAGGAGCTGATTTTACTGAAATGAATGTATTAGATGGAGATGAAGTTAGATTGATGTCAAGACGTGGTCAGCCTTGTGCGCGAGATATTGTGCAGTTTGTGCCTTTCAGAGATTTCAATAATGTGAGTTCTTGCATGTGCATGATTGGTTGATTATGTTTTATATGGTAATTGTGTTTTAAAAGGCACATGAATTTGCCTGTCCTATTTACATTTTGGTGGAATTTTCAAAATTAGGCTATATTTGTGCAATTAGCTTGTACAATC